TCTGGTTCATGACTTGTCCAGAGCTTCTCTTCTGCTACAGGTTAATAGGTGTTGTATTTTACCTGTGATAGACACATAATCAGAAGTAGCTGTCCTCTTCTGTCCATTGGGAGTAAGATCATGCCAAGTCCAAAGCCTAGAGGCCAGAGCATATACTCCTAGTTCCTATGGATGGTTCACTTAGCTTTTCTAACTTGTCTCATTATCGTTCTTTGAAATAATGACTATGATAATATCTGAACTCTTCCTGCTTTAACATTCCTTATGTGCATTAAATCCTTTTTGTATAATTCATGTAAACAATAAATATTCTTTCAAATGTACACTATGCATAGTTATGTAGGTGATGAGCTCCATTATCCAATTTTCTTTGGTACCAGGGATCGAACTTAGGACCTCACACTTACAAGGCAGGTGCAGTGCCACTGAGCTAAATCCCTGGACCAATTATCAAATATTGCATTAGGGAAAATTTTAAAAAGCCATATGGACCTCAATGAATTTACCATCAAAACAATGGACTCTCAGACGCACAGCACTGGACATGTATGTAGCAGATGCCCTATAAACAGTTTTTGAATGATTAACATCCAAAGAAAATATTCTCTTTAGAGAAATGAATAATTATGTCTGATATTACTATAGCTACCAATTATTATGCTAGTTTTCAGGGGAGTGGTTTAAAATACTTTGATTATAATTTTCTATGGGCAAACTGAAGAGTCTGAGGTTGAAAGCCGACTTAATAATTCAGACAGAATACTGGAAATGGTCAATTGTTATGTAAGGCAATATGAAGAAAGAAGTAAAGGTCTACAACCAAAAAGTAAACATACAAGCTTTTTATATACTCATTATGTTGAACCTGAATTACCTACTTTGAACAGTAAGAATTTAAACCAGAACTATGTGTGTTGGTGGGGGAGGAGGTAACTGCAGAAGTGTCTGCCTGGAAACTGATGGAAGGGAATCCTCAGAGGATGCAATGGTTATCCTGAAAACCAGGCACAGAAAAGAGTATCATATGGGTTCGTGAGAATAGGTCTCGTTTTTCATTTTTGTCCTTATCTGGTGTGAAATGTTTTTCTTCTCTTCCCAGTTTGACCATATGCAGAAACGAACAAATTATAATCATGAGAGAAAAGGTTTTAAAGCAAATAGCAACTGCAAAAAACACAGAAGGGAAAAATAACTTTTTCCTCTTAAACAAAGCCAGGACACCATGCTAAATACTTTGGCATCATTCAGGGGAGAGAGAAAATGTTTACATTTTTGACTAAAAACCCAAACCACTTCTTTTGTAATCTTTTCTTTCATTATCTTACTATCATCTTTTTGCGTCTGCTTTCTTAACCTTTGAGATAAACCCTTTATTCAGTTCGGTAGGCTTTGTCTAACTAAAAGATCTGTAGGTTGACTGGAAGGAAACAGAGTACAAAGTTACAGTGCTTACTGCTGTATTGGGAATACAGGATCTGTGTATTGTGATCTGTGTATTATACATGGCAAATCCCAAATTGGTGCCCCACTCTTTTTGTGTCATTGTGGGCAAACTAGCTTGTCCCCTTTGCCTCCATTTTTCTAGGTATACATGTAAGAGGCTCAAAGATTGCATTCGACTTAAACATTCTATGGGGCTACCAGAAAAGAAAGTTTACCTTGGTGCAAGCTTTATGAAGGGCAATTAGGCTATGTTTTCAAAATGACAAAAACACATACCTGCCGACACAGTGACACCAATTCTGGAGGTTCCTCTTACATACGTGTATGGATGCGAAGTGACTACTATACAAGGTTATTCCTTACAGAATAGTTTATGATGGCTAAAGATAAGAAACAAGAATGTTTGCCAACACCCTACGGCTCAGTAAATTCAGATAGTACTTCTAGTTTTTTGAAGTATGTGTTAGTGGGATAGGTTCACTGGGCTTGCTTTACACACACACACACACACACACACACACACACACACACACACAAAATGTTTTTTTGAGGGGGTATACATTTCATTAGAAATCTTAAATACTCTTCAGACAATGTCTTCAATCAAGGCTCTTGTATGCCTACATGGAAAACTGCAGGTTTTAGGATTAGTGGCAAGGATAAAGACAATACAGAGGACAAATGCTTAGTCTGGCAAGAGCATCCGCCATGATGAATGCTCTATGAATGCTCTTCAGCCAGCTTTTCAGCATTTGCCATGGCTTCTTCAAGGGATCCCACCATATTTATTCCCAGGTCTGTTCTGGGAAAGTTTTTTAAAAAGACCAAATTAAACAAACTATGGCATTTATTATTATTATTGTTATTATTTCTCTTTGTGTGTGTGCAGGGTGGGGGTGAGGATTGAACTCAGAGCCTCCCGCAGGCTAAGCATGCACTGTATCACTTGGTTACACCACCAGCCCAAACTATGGCAATTAAAGAAGCAACTCTGCAGGCACAGTGGTGCACACTTGTAATCCCAGCTACTCAGAGGCTGAGGCAGGAGACTTGCAGGTTCAAGGCCAGCCTGGGAAATGTAGGCAGACACTATCTCAAAATAAAAATTTAACAAAAAGGCTAGGGACATAGCTCAGTGGTAAAGTGCTTGCATAGCAGGCGCAAAGCCCTGGTATTGAAAAATCAAGTAAAATTGATAAGGTAGCTTCAAAGACTTCAAGGATTTGGGGGAAGTCTGTAAGAAAACTCTTAACCACATAGTCTCTTCCGATTGAGGCCCTGAAAAACCAGAATAGAAGTGAAGGCAAGGACAAATTTGCAGCTGGCTTCTTGGCTAAGAATGATCCATTAGGGCCCCAACTATTTTGTAAGGTGCAGCTGCCTGAATGGAAGCTGCTTCTGTGAGCATAATTAGAAAGGACAGGGGTAGGGCGTGTGTGGGTAGCAAGTATTTTGTGGCCTTCCTTTCCTTTTGAGTTCATCATCTGAGTTGCTGAGGTCCTCTAGTGGTTGGCAGAAGAGGCCCCAACTGTCCAAATTCTATAGTAATTTGGAAAAGACTACTAAAGGAAGAGGGTGGCAACCAACCCCTATCTTTAGTCTATTCAGTTCACAATCCACACCCCATTCTCCTTCAACATCAGTAGGAACCTGATGTGATAAATTGCTTATGAAGAAATAGGGGCCTGGACTACCGAGATGATAGTGAAGATGCAAGGAAAGAATAAATCTCTAAATTGATTTAACTTTTGTAAGAGGCACACACATAAATTAAGTTTGTGTGTGTGTGTGTGTGTGTGTGTGAGACAAGGTCTCGCTATGTTGAACTCACTATGTACCCCAGGCTGGCCTCGAACTCGTGGTGGTCTTCCTGCCTCGGTCTCCTGCAGAGATTACAGGCGTGGGGTACCACACTTTCCCTAATTTTTCTTTATAGAGGCCACTTTTTCAATTGAAGAATTACATGTACGAAAGAAAGAAAGGACTTATTTTTCTTTAAGAATTGGGAGCTGATCTTTTCGGACAAGATATTTAAAACTCTACTATCTTCCATTCAGAGCGATCCCATCATTTTAAAAGGAAATGTTTTCCACAGTCTTCCTAAAAAAGCAAAAGCAAAACAAAACAAAAACTTTAAAACTGTATCTTCTGCTCTGAGACACAAGGGCCAATTGTCTTCCTACCTTCCGCCCTCCTCGATCTTTTACAGGACGTCCGGGCGTGAGCCTAGCCGGGAAAGATCGGGTGGGGGTTGGGGTAGACGGATGCACGCCAGCAGCCTAAAGTAATCTAGGGTAGAGTTGCTCCCCCAGACCTCTCTTATCTTCGCTTACATCTGCATTTCCCAGGACCACTTTAAAGAAACAAGCAACCAGTTTTAAGCTCATTTAGGGGTTATAAAGCAAGCGAGGTTCTCATTGAGCACTCGCTTCTGATCCTTTTGCCACCGTGCCTGCTCAGTGAGGCTCCACGCTAGGGAAGAGGTTCTCGTCCAGGGCATGGGTCTAGGGTAACTTTCGGACTCTGTGCACAACAGGAGCCTCTTCTTCCCGTGCCAAACCCCTTTCCCTCATTCCTAGCTTTTGAGGCCAGAATGCAGGGAGTCCGGCTAGTGGCTTCTGGACTGCACAACTGGCCCCCAGCTAATCCAATCGTCCAAGGCTGGGCTCTGGGGTGCCGGGAGGTGGTGGGCGTAGGGGCGGAGGGAAGCGCACTCAGCGGTGTCTGGACCACGCGGGGCCAGAAGACTTGACAGATCGCCGCGAAAGCAAACATTCCACAAAATAACACCGCCCCCCTTCCCACGCCGCTCCGCAAAGAAATCAAGGGTGGAGCCCAGGGAGGGGGCGGTCGAGTGGAATTCAGTGAGACCGCCTGCACCGCCCCACCCCGCGCCCACCCAGTCCGGGTTTGGGCTCTGAGGGGAGGTAGGGGCGACGCGGGCGTCTTGTTCCACTCGGGCTTCCAGAGTACTCAGCTTCGCTCCACCGTAGTAAACAAAAGTGTCGTCGCCGCCTCCACGCTGGTTTGCCTCCTAGCAATCAAAACACTGAGAGGGCTAGAGACTCACAGAAACGCTCGCAAATTACCAGAAAATAACAACAGGGATTGAAAAGAGAGAGAGAGAGGAGAGAGAGAGAGAGAGAGAGAGAGAGAGAGAGGGAGAGAGGGAGAGAGGGAGACTCCACCGTAGTAAACAAAAGTGTCGTCGCCGCCTCCACGCTGGTTTGCCTCCTAGCAATCAAAACACTGAGAGGGCTAGAGACTCACAGAAACGCTCGCAAATTACCAGAAAATAACAACAGGGATTGAAAAGAGAGAGAGAGAGGAGAGAGAGAGAGAGAGAGAGAGAGAGAGAGAGGGAGAGAGGGAGAGAGGGAGAGAGA